ACGCTTTGTCATTAAAATGAAATTTTGTCTGCTTTCTTTCGGAAATAACGTAATAAATTGATATGAAGAACTGCCTTAATCAACATTGTTTCCCGTTCTGCTTAAGGCGTACGTGATATGTGAATACACATTGATACATAATATACGAATAGATTTTTAATAACATGTCTTCAGGCATATGGATCGTGTTTATATATATTTTTATTTCCTTTCTCTCAGGAGAATAAGTCAACGCATATTGTAATAAAATGTTATTAGCTTTTATAAATTAATGTTGGTAGCCATGTCGTATTAGTAATAATTTCCTACGTATGCCTTAGCTAATGAACGTGCAATTTATCCTAAAAAATGTTCACATTTTAAATTAAATAACACTCATACGACCCAATTAAGTGAAAACTAAATACTTATTTCTTTATGAATAATATATGTATGTATATATTAGTTTGGGGAAAAAGAAATCCATTATTTTTATATGAACTTCAGGACTTTATTTAACATGCTTCGGATTGTCCGATTTGGGTCAAATATGCACCGTTTTGTTGTATGATTGGTTGCCATTTTAAAGGTAACTTCAAAATGCCTCTCTCATAGAAGTCCTGGTCTCTATTTGCAAAAAACTCTAGTAGTCGATTTTCACAATCCTCCCTAGATTCCAATTTTTTATCATTAAAGAATTTTTGCAATGCAAGAAAAAGATGATAATCGCTTGGTGCCAAGTCCGGACTGTATGGCGGATGCTTTAAAACTTCCCAACCAAGCTCCCGAAGTTTCTGGCGAGTCACTGTAGATGTGTGTGGCCTAGCGTTGTCCTGGTGGAACACGACACCTCTCCTGTTGGCCAATTCTGGCCGTTTCTGGTCAATCGCTATCTTCAAACGGTCCAGTTGTTGACAGTAGAGATCAGAATTTAGCGTTTGGCCCTATGGAAGCAAATCATAATAAATAATCCCCTTCCAGTCCCACCAAATGCATAGCAAAACCTTCCTGGCCGTTAGTCCTGGTTTGACCACCGTTTGAGGTGCTTCACCGCTCTTTGACCACGATCGTTTTCGCACAGGGTTATCGTATGTGATCCATTTCTCGTCTCCAGTCACCATCCGTTTAAGAAATGGGTCTATCTCATTCCGTTTGGCCAAGGCTTCGCAGATGGAAATTCGATCCATCATGTTTTTTTCTGTTAATTGGTGTATATATATATATATAGATGAGAAATTTAAAAACCAAAGACATCCACCCAAAAATAACTCTAAAGTACAAACAGTTATAAAATAACAACAAATTTTGAAAATGTTCTCATTAAGGTCTTACAAGCTTCCACCATTACGATGGTAAAGTAAACATTAGTTTTGCTGAATCACTTTTGTAAAACATATAACCGAACTGAAACCTAGCGTTTGCGTTAAACGCAACGCATACGGATACTTATGGTTAAACATTAATTTACATAACTCAGCATTTATAGCCATAAGTTAAAATTTTGTAGAAAATATAAAATTTTTTTAATTCTTGCTATACCCTACAGTATTCGTAGTACCAGGACATCCATGTAACATCCGCAAAACTTGACCTAGTCTTCACTTTTATTAATGCAAATGAGAGTCGGAAGACATATTTCTAATCGCCTGATTAAGATAAGAAATTTTAACAGCCAAGAGAGATCCATGCCAGAAACAGCTGTAAAGTACTAAAAGGCATAAAATACTGAAAATTTCAAAATATTCACATGAAAAATATTCTCATACAAAATTTCAACATTATGATGGCAAAGTAATGACTGGATTTCCTCAACCACTTTGATTTGCTGCACGTTTGCAAAAACCTATAACCAAACTGACATTATGAAGCCGGCATTTGCGTTAACCACAACGCATATGGATACTAATGTTTAAACATTAATTTTCATAATTCCGCATTTATAGCCATAGGTTAGAATTTTGTATAAAATATAAAATTTTTTTAATTCTTGCTTTTAATTCTCCTACACTGGTATACCAGCTCCATTAAATTTAAGCGAATTTATATAATATGGGCAAGAACTTAAAATGGATCCAACTTTTATTTTGGTTAGAACAGTAGTTTATGAATCGATTTAAATTTGCTTGGCCTCCGTCTACCTGTCCATCTATCTCTCTGCCTGGCTAAGCTCTGTGCACATATTTTGTTGCTGAACGTAGAGACATTTTGACAAAATTTTGTACATATATTCGCCCGAGAACAAACTCCATGCCCACTCTCCATACAAAGCCTTATCGATATAGGAAAAAAATTTATAAATTTCAGAAATTCTCGATAATAGCCATACGGTTCAGCATTTCAAACGTCAATTCGATATAATTTCTCCTACGAAATGTAAGCTTGTGTACGAGAGCCAGGTTCATATTTTACTATCCAAAGTCATATCCAAAGTTTTGACTATTGGTGTCCCCATTTAAGAGCTTCTTTTGGTACTTTATTAGGAAAATAAATGAAGATATTTGTGTACTAGGCGAAGTAATGTAAGGCATTAAATAGATTGCATTGGCCGACTGCAATGTTTCCGCTTGGTTTATTATTAAAAAAAAAAAAAAAAAAGTCGTGACGCTTGTAGCCATTAAGTTTCTTGCACAATGCAAGCCGAGCTAAGTACTTTTTTTTATTGCAAATTTTACTGAAAATGAACTCATAGTTTAATATCAAAACTGGTGTTTACCCTAAGCCTTGATGAGCCGAAAAATATCTCTGACTGAATTTATTATAATTTTATATTAATTTTTTTTTATTTTTAGAGAGTGCAAATAACCTAATTCTCGATGCTACACACGGAATAGCATAGCAACGTGTGTAGCTTTAAAAATTTATTGGAATTTATTTATTATTGAATTATGTTTGCTTAATTAAATGCTTTTCAAGCCACTTGTTGAATATTGAAAAAATTTTATGATTTCAATGAAACTCTTGTTACTGTTTTGTTGTTGTTGTTCTTGTACATTTGAATTTCAGAATTTCATTTCATGCTTCGATTTTATTTATGAATATTTTTTTATTAATGTGAGTCGATATGAAAGCTTTCAAATAATATTTTTATAAAAATTAGGATATACTAGTTTTATCATATCACTTGTATTATGAAATGTACTCTACCGAAAGTCTATAAATTTTTTAATGAGACAATGATGACTGTAATGACAATTTCATTATCCTCTCTTATACGTCCTTTTGTCTGCTGTCGTTGTTCTCGCAAAGTTATAAAATCATCTTATGTAGTCGTAGAAAATGTACCGAAAACAGTCAGAATTATTAATTACCAAAAAATGTTGAAAAATGTTGTTATATGAAATTTATTGCTTTCTACGTAAGGTGTAGAAAGCAAAAAACTTGTGATACAAGAGTTTATGGATAAAAACTCGATATAAACTCTCTTTTGATTATACCGCTAGATTCAAAATCACATCAATCCGACTCCACATAAGCATGTCTGTCCCTCTGTCCGTCTTGTTTTTTTGTGTTCAACCTAACGCCGATAGACTTGGAAATGTTTCGTTGAAATTTGGAACAACAATTTGTTTTGGTGGCGAAGACGTACATTACCGTAAACGGTTCAGATCACTTTTTCGACTCTTTCCCGTCTTATTTTTAAAAGTTCTTATACGAATAGGTAGGGCGGTGTAGGATATTTTTTCTTGGGCTACCGATAGCTGCTTAAAAGCCAGAATGACGAACGAAACATTGCACCGCGCTTCTTATCGAGTCATTCATTGCGGTAAATGACAGAAGCAGCCTGAAAATCTTTAAAATTAAATATCAGCATATTAAATTTTTATATGATAAACGTCATGTATATATAAGAATTAAATTAGTGAATAAATCGTAAACTTAGGAGAATTAACATTTTTAACTGCTTATTGTAGCCAAAGACAGGGTCAAACGCCTGACTGAGAAAACGCTATTATGTTACTAACAGATGGCGTCGCACTTCTTAAGCCATATAATACTATTGCCACATAGATAAGGGCAGTTGGTATCCGTCAATTCAAATCTCAATGCGATAGACCATACCTGGACGTAGATGGAGTCAGTGTTCAGACATTAGAGGCATAACAGTTGAACATCAGATACGTTAGCCATTAACCTATGGTGATTCTCTATCTCTTTTTCCACTTGTTTCTGACCATCATCGTGTTGCCTGCACAGAGGAACAACCGTTGCGTGATGAGACAAAACAAAAAATATTTGGTATCCCCCCACCCGCATATGTACTTTACAAGTCGATGGATGTATATGATATTATATTCTTCATCGAGACATATACACGTATCTAACTGCGTATTTTATGTAAAAAAATTAAATATGGAAAGCTTTATAAAATATATCTGAATCTTAATCCTTCATTTGCAACAGTTGCAGTTATATGACTGGCTTTCAAAGTTCGTTCTAAAAGTATTTAATTGTATTTTCGTTATTTGCATTAAACTTTTCAACTGCTCGTACGAATGAATATATGCACGTACATGTTTTTATGCATAATTTTTTTTTATTTTTTACAACTTTAAATATTCTTTTTAAAAGCATCACGCAAGCATGAAAATCAGTTGAGTGAACGCGCATAAAATTCCACAAAGAACGCACAAGCATTATGCGGGCATTTGTTTATGAAAATGAATTTATAATAAATTAATAACAACTCAAGCACAATAATGAAATAAAGAAAAGCGGGAGAAAACGCTCAGACCATTAACAGTAACAAGAAAACAAAAGAGTGCGAATATATTCGCAAATTGACCGCAAGTAAGACGCTACGGAACTTTTAAATAAAATATATTCCACTTCCTTTTAGTTGCCTCGAAGAACAGGCATTTGCATATATAAATTTCACTCACTTCGATGCATAATTCATAAGAAGAGTTTTTTTTTTTTTTTTTGACTAATTCGAAATTTTACTTAACTAAATTCTTAAAAAAAAAAAAAAACAAAACAAAAAAAAAAATTTATTTCATTTATCATAATTTAAAAAAGCTTACCTTTAATAAAATCTACTGCCATCTCTAGACCGTAAGTATCCTTGTCGCAATCATCCAAAATGTGTGCACCTAATGTCACATTAGGTAATAATTGATTCTTATTGACTTGATCTAATGTATAGAGCATAGCTTCTAATGCTTGTATGCCACCTTGTGGCATTATGGGACCGCATGTAATCGTATCTTCGCGTGAATGAACCATCATTAAACCACCCAAAATAACCTCACCTTCAACCACAGCAGCATGCTTAACTGGCCACAACGATGTGGCGGCAGTTGTTGTTGCAATTATAGGTGCAGTGATTGCGGTACCGGTTGTGGTTAACAAATTTGTAATACTTGGCTTTGTGGTTTCCGCCAATAACTGCAAATTATTATTATTATTATTATTATTTTCACTCAAAACGCTAATGATATCTGTGTCAGCTATAGTTGGAATGCTGGTAAAGGCTTTCGTTATTTTTATCATATCATGAAACGCCCCACTTGTTCTGCTATTGTTTATTGCATTGCTTATATTAGTTTCTGGTGTTAAAGGTGTTTGTGTTTTTGTTATAGATGCTTGTTTGATTGTTGTTGTTGTTGCCAACACATCATCATTTTCTACAATGCCGTCGGCATCGAGTATTAAAGAATTGTTTTGATTTTTTGCACCATCACAACACAAATCATTATATGATGAAATTTCATTTGTTGCCTTCAGTGCTGATTCAGTTATCATGATATTATTTGTAACGAATTCCGTAATTTCTTCAGTCTCTGTGGTATTCGTACTATTACTACTATACTCTGTCATATTTTGTTCAATATTTTTCACGTAATTTTCTATATTTGCTTCGTATTTCGAGGACATTTGTGTAATATTGCTATGCTGTATGAACGGCATGGATGTTATTATTGAAGTGCTGGCAATATTTTCAAAGTTTATTAATTTTGCTTCAATGAGTTTTTTTTCGTTTTGGTCGTAAAAATTTATTGAGTAGAAGCGATGAAAGAATATTTTTATAATTTTCTCTATTTATTTTCACATCATTTTTATTCGTTTTACTATAACGGTTAACTGTATTTTTTCTTTTTAATTCATTTAATGAATCATTTAAACATATTTTAGATAACTTCTCTTTTAAGTCACAATCACTTTTTTTAGCATAACTGTTCATCGGTTGAGAGATTTTCAATTTTCGATCTTCGCTACTATTAGAATTAAATTTTGAATTTAGAAATATTTTCAGATCTTGTGTATTTGTAAAATCACTCTTTATTCTCTCTTCGCTCTTAGTAGAATTACTTTTCGATTGCCCGAACACTTTTGGGTTTTTCTTTACGGTACTTAAAGCTTTATTCTTCAGCAGCTGTAATATATCGGCTTTACTTTCTTCTTCAACATTATATGAAAAATACTGAGTGCTTGTAGGCTGGGATGTCGTTATCTGATCGATCTGTAGCTGCCGCTCATCCGTTTTAGCAGAGTCGTCTTTATTTATTTCTGAGCGTTCTGTGGTTAAACGCATTTCAAAAGTTTTACTTATCTCGGCCGGGATTTCTCTCCACTTTCGAAGAATTTTCCTTTCATTCATCTCGGAAAAGTTTCCTTTATCGTTTATATTTACTTGAAGACGTTCGCTTAGATAGCTTGCTTTTGCTTTAGTAATATGATGGGAATTTTCCTCACTTTGCCTAAGCAAATTATCTGAGCGATTTCTATTTGGTTCTTCGAAACCATTAATCGGACTTATACGTTCAAGATCGATCGGTCTGCTAACCTTCTTCATAGTCTCGATATTTTGCAATGAAATATCTGTTCCTTTTGAACTCACTTCGCGTATTTGGTGATATCGTTTTTTCTCTCCTTCAATGCTATTGCGAGTGTCCTGCTCGCTTGTTGTTGTTAATGTCCTTTCCGGCTCCTCTTTAACTTTTCTCATTACTGTTTTTTGAGTCTTTTGAAAATTTTGCCCAACAGGAAGCAAAGGTTGAAATTGAAGTTTTACAATCTCTTCTGAACTACTCTTAGTTATCATTAAAGGTTGAATTGAGACTTCTTTACTGCTCTTCTTTGCAACTTCTTTGCAAAGATGTTGAACACCATCGTCTCTAATATGAATCAATTTTGTAAGATTTGTTTCTCTTTCGCTTTTATTCGCAACTCTATTAATCTTTTCCTTATCATTTTGAACACTTTCTTCGGTGAAAGCTTCCGATTGCCCAGCATTTTCCCCCTTTCCATCAAAAAGGTTAGCTATTGCGTGTACTTTTGTACTTACATGGCTGGCATTATTTGTTTTACTTAAATTTCCCTCGTTTTGCTTTTCACTTTCTAACATACTCATTTCGGTGCTGGATTCTTTTTCCGCTCGAGTGTCTTGATGTTGAATGGTTGCGTGTAAATTATTATTCTTAATTCCATTGGTGAAAAAGTTTCTTTCTGTCATCGTATAATCCTCAGTATTTTGCATGTTTACGCTTTCAGTTTTTGTTGCCTTTATCATCATCATCATCATCATCGTCAACGCTAGTGAGGTCTTTAAATCTCTACCATTAATATTTGGATTTTGGGATTGTTTACTCACCCACGGAACTTTATCTGCATGCTGTGATGATGCTATCACATGAATCGCAGTAACATTTGTTTTCATTTCCGTTGCTTTTACCGGTTCAGGCAACGCGTTGTCCGTTACCATCGCTGAGTTGTTCATTTGCCAATTACATTTTTCATCATTTGTCTCCAATTTTTGCATTGTTTCGTGACTTTTCAATGAATTTAAATTTTCAGGTGCATTTAAATTACGATATACTACCGTTGGTCCTATTGTTGCCGATAGATTGCTACTATATGGACTTTTGTGATATTTTAAAATTTCTACGCCATCATCTGTCCTGTAATACGGATTTAATTCAGATGATATTGAAACTTTCTGTTTCCCTTGTTGCAAATCAGCTGACCTGTCAATTACGTGATTGTATCCCGTGTAGGTATTGGCCGATACCAGCGTAGTCTCATTATTAGATACTTTATCATTGTCATTATATTCTGCGAAACTTGCAGAGTTCTTAGCATTTATTATAGTTTGTGGCTGCTGTTGTTTATGTTCTAGTTGCTCTCTAATGAAAGCAGTTGCCATTGCTTCTATAGCGGGAAGAGTTGCTACTATGTGCGCGAGCACACACAACCGGTATATTTGGATCATTATGTTAACTAAGCAAACGTTGATTTAGTCTCAAAGGATTATTACATTATGACGAAATTTTTTTCAAAAAATTCATTTCAAAAATCAGGTGAATGCGCGGAATTCCATTTTCACAAGCTTTCACTTTAATGTCTAAAGATCTGAAATGAATTGATAAGAGATAAAACAAAGCGATTATTAACAGATATTTTACACAGATAGTCTATACATTTTCAACTTATTAATAAACAAAATTTATCGTATGGTAAAATAGGGGATCATGGATGGGTAAGGGGTTTTAAATTCTTTTCACTAAGTGCTGTCTATATAACATAAATTGATATGTTCTACTTCAAGCAAATCCTTTCGGCAACTCAGCTAACATAGCGCTTCAACTTTTCGTATCGAATTCAATATCGAAGCTTACAGCTTCTTGCCATATAAAGGCTAACACTTCATAAGCTTTACATGGTGAAGGGTCTACGCAATGAGTCCACAGAATCCGACCTCATTCCAGTTAATTTATTTGCATATATCATTATCTTTTTAGCAACTTTAGCAGTAGTGGGAGGCAGAGCCCCCTTCTTCATCCAAATTTCAAATTTAATAAATCGAAATATTATTTACTTCTTATCGATTTTTGTTGGAAAAAAGTTTTTTTTGTGATACAACGACATGGCCCTAAAAAATCTTCAAACTAATCCATTTGCCGATAGACCAGCAAACAAGCCCAAGTCGGTTTAGAAAACGAATCTAACTTAGTTAAAATAATGAAAGGTTAGCCTTTTAGCTTCTGTACCTCGAGATGCTGTATATGGTCGCATAAATTTCTTTACCTACTTAGTATAGAATGTGGAAAGAAAGTCGGTTACAAAATTAATTAACATTAACATTAAGATTAACATTTGAATGCAACATAAAAAGGGAATAAAAGTATGCATCGCATTGATCGTAGGGGAGATAATTCCAATCCTTTGACATAATAATTGTTAACATGGCACGGTTCTAATTACTCAATGAAATTTCCCGTCGCACCAGCAATGAGAATAGAACGAGTGCATTACGAATGTTAATTCGCCCACAGTCAAGGTATACCCTATATCCGAAATTTCGATCCAACCAAGTAAAGATGACCAGCGCTATTATTACACTTGAGAAATGATTGTATGGCCACACGAACGCATACAACTCAGTAGGTTGTGAACACTCTCTACCTTTTTCGGTTTCCTCATTTCTCTCTGACCATCGCCGTGTTGCGAGGTATGTGAGATGAGAATAAAAAAAGAATTTACTGTCAAGTCTATCAGAGCTCGAAACTTATGAATGTAAAGAGCATAGACATTAAATTGCCGGATGAGAATTTTGGTTTCAGAGTTTTATACTCCCTTTGCGTCATCTAGTGCTTTAGAGGTACACGCGAATCGATTCTGATCGAACAACTTTTTGCGTCTTGGTTGGTATTCTAAGCAAATTGTATGAATTGGATGGATTTCTCGAACAGGGCGGACGAGATATGTCTTAACGGCAACTGCAGAGTTGATAGTTAGAGATCTTCCGCAACATAAGTTCTGCCAGCTTATAAAACCCAAGCAAGTTGCAGATAGCTAACTGCAAGACAGCCAGCCATTCACATTACAGAAGGAAGCTTAAAATTACATTTTTTTTTTTTTATTTGCTGTGGTATTTCTTGTCCATCTACGCTACAACTAAACAACTAAAAGCGGTAAACTTATAACTATTTATGTTGTCTATCTATAACATAATCAATATCTATTTACAGAAATATTACTATATGTGGAAAGCAGCACCGTTCACAATTACAGTGAGCGAATTATTAACATTTTGAGTCGGCTAACCGAATCAGCTAAAGAGAATAAGTAGTCATAATTGTTTCCCGATTAATAGGTTTAATCAATTTTAGGCGGTTAACAAGTAGAAACATATTACGACTGGGCCTCTATCCCAGCCATCGTAAGGCAAATATAAGAATTTTTGTTTTTGCTCAGCCTCTAGTAAATCAGTATCACATTCATATCCTGGAATCCAAACTATCGCCCGCATATTCTAGAATTGTCCTAATCAAAGCAATGAACAGACCCTTTTTAATAACAGGGTTTTCAAATACATAAAAAATATACGAGACCATCTTTCGATGAATCCCAGAGCACATCCGAACACCTTTTCGCGTGCTGTACGAACACAGATACAATTTTTGTGCTGCGTTCTACGAATCTATCCCATATAAACACATGTTACAGGGATCTACTGTACATAAGCTGGTAGAGATATGCTTAAACCCAGTACAAATTATATACATATGCTGCATGTATTTGAAAGCAGTTCCTCTGGGATTATACCTAACGCCGATGTATCTAAGTTTTTCAACCTTATGTTTAACAAATTTAATAAAAACGCATAGTTTGCTAAAAAGTTTGTTGAAAAATTCGAATTTCTTACGCTTTAAAATATTAAACGCTCTAGACTTTTATGTATAGACAGAAACTGGGTGCTCTAGGGAAACATTCATCTTCCACTTTTAAGTTTATTATATCATCCAAAAAAAAAAAAAAAAAAAAAAAAAATATTGTTTTTATATAACGTTTTCCTCTTAACACTCAACTGATGAGTTACGTTTTATGAAAGATAATCGCTCGTAGAACGAAAGGTATCAACCGCATCCTTTTTATCACTTTTTTTGCGCGCTGCAGAAAAAGTGCACAAAAAACTTTCTTAAAGATAAGAATGTGTTTTGTGCGAAGGCAAAAGGAAACTATTTTCTCAAGTTGGTGAAAGAATTTGTTGATTTTTTCTCAAGGATGCCCAAAAAAGATTTATTTATTTGCAAACAATAAGTTTGTAAGTTTGTTGAATTCCTCTTAAATTTCATTTTCATTCATCTTGAGAACGAAACACATTTCTTCATTCACTATTGTAATAGCAACATTTCTCACACGCATCACACATTTGAAAGTGAGTGAGCTCTCAGTTCAAGATGATGCTTTCCCTTGTGAAGTAGGAAAATGTGTTAATGCATGTAAAACATGCAATGTACACAATGTTCTCGTTATTTTTATCAGGGTTTTTATGCGTTCATTGATTTTTTAAAGGGTAACAGTGACAAAGAGAGAGAGAGAGAGAGAGAGAGAGAGAGAGATGAAGAGATATGTATGTTAAAAATGATATAAAGTAGAATTTTTTTTTTTTTTTATATTTCTTTATTTTTATATGAAAAAAAAAAAAAACAAAGCAACAAACAAGTAAAAGATAATATGACGAAAAGTTGTACATTTGCTTTGTTTATTCTCGCTACCAGTCACGGACACCACTGTTAGTATCGCTCGCTATATATTGACGGCGGAGAGAGCGGAGAACAAACATTTGCTATTAGCTCGTAAATCCAAACAATTGCATACATAGTAAACTACACTATAAGCAGATTTTATATTCTATTCTATCGACGATTACTTTGCAATAAGATGACTACACAACTACAAACTGCAATGAGTGCAAGATTGGAATAAAACAATTGAAAACATTGTTTGCTCTAATACATTCATTTTATAATCCGTACGCATAGTAGACTGTTAGCACTAGAAGCCAGTCAGCAAACAAACATGAAAACAAATAAAAAACTTTTACACAAAGCAAAAAGAAAAGAAAAATCCTCGGCTGGCAGATGAGAAAACAAAGAAAAGAGTAAAAGAGAAACTCATAAAAATTGTTTAAAAGTAATATAAATACGCAAAAATATGCATCTTTCACGTTAATGGTGATGGCTAAGCTATCGATCGATTACTGTTTGATTTGTTGAGCGCTATAATAATATACTTTGCTAAGCAGCTGTTGAAAAAGTCTTTATTATCGAATGAGTTTTGTTTTTTTTTTTTTTTGTTTTTTTGCTTACGTCTAAATATGATATACAACATGTCAGGATAATGGAGGAGCTTTCAGAAAAGAAATTGTAATATAGCTTTTTAAAATATTCTACAATTTGATTGATATAATTGCGTCTTAACATTTTTAAAACGCTGGAAAGATACAATAAACATACACTACAACAACGTTTGAAACAATGGATATAGGTTTGTAGACGGCCGTCAAACAGTCAAGATCCACGAAACAGTTCTTCATAGATAGAGAGAGTAGATCGATCTACGAAAGCATTCGATGTGCTTGCAATAGTAAACCTGTTGTGTTCTTATTCAGGTGTCCAAGAGGTAAAAGCCACCGTAGGCAATGGGAAAAGGTAAAGCTTGTAATAAATGAAGTAGATAATGAATCAATATTGAAATAAGACCCAAGAAATGGATACGTTAGCAAAGAATATCGGATATGAATGACAATATGAATGAAAGGGTCAAGAATCCTTAACGGATATATACTAAGGACTACAGGTAGTTATAAGTTATTTCCATGTATGTATTTAATATGGAGTAAGTATATGTTACTTTTCATTTGTTTTCTTTTATAGCAAGCGGTTTGTTAAACCCTAGTGAGGGATGCATAGGGTTGCTCTATGCTATAAGTAAGAACGAATGTGATCAACTAACCGATTGGCAACGTCAACTCCTCTTCTCTTCTGGACATGCCCTCTTTCTCTTCTGGATCGAACCACCCACTAAGTAACACACCACCAATCAAAATAAAATCCATCATCATCCGCTATAGGTGCCGAACTAGGTACGTTTTGAAAGGAGCCCGTCCGCTCCGTCCGATGATCACTGACGATAGGTCATTTAAGTTAAGTGTTGGCATTTGAAGTTTACACACCTTTCTTTATTATTTGAACAGCGTAATTTACCTAGTGATATACGTTAATCAATAAAAGAAAATTGAAATATAGAAGAAATGAGGAGATATACATAAGTCGCCCCGGCATTACTTTATTAAAAGGTCGATTTTTCCAAAGAGGAAAAATTCGTTTCTTCACAGAGTAATATATAAAAAATAATATAGAAAACATCTACTTATGACGTGTTAAACAAATAAAAGACTTGTGTACATTTATTTTACAAAAAGTGTATATTTAATAATTTTATTATGTCTTGTTATTGTACATACCTTGTTTAATACGCAACATTTGTTTGTATGTCACTACTATTAAACTGTTATCATATGTCAAGTCCAGCATGACATCAATTACACATTAACAAAATAAAGG